GTTTTGGGGGCAAGGGGGGGGGCTCAGCCCGGGGAGAAGGGTGTGGGGGGGGCAGCATCCCCACCCCAGCGCAGACCTGAGGTACTTTGTCCTTCGTGTGTACAGATAAATTATATATAAAACACTTTGGATACGAGCTGTGGTCTGGTCTGTGGGGTCAAGGGGGGGACACACGGGGCTCCTGGTGAGGGGGTCCGGCTAAAGGGGGGCTGAGAGGCTGGTGGGGGGGGCACATGCCGTAAAATCGGGGGTTGGGGGGTCCCCATGTCCTGGGGTGGGGGACATATCAGGGATCTGAGAGGGGGGGTCCCGGTGTCCCAGGGGTGGGAACACGGGGGTCCCAGTGCTGGGGGGTCCTGGTAAGGAAGGGGCCCCGGAGGGGTGACACACAAGGGTCCCGGTAAGGGGGGCGGTGAGAAGCTGTTGTGGGGGCACAAACACCGCCCTGAGGTTGGGGAGGGGGGCTGCGAGACCCCCCAAAAACCGGAGCCCCCTCAGGCTTCCGTTGGGGGCGTGGCCTGCCCGTCCACGGCCGTATCCCCACACGGGGTGGGCGTGTCCACCCTCAAGCCCCGCCCCCTCCCCGGAACACGCGCGTTCCCCAACGGCCGCTCCCGCTCCTCCCCGCCGGCGCTGTGACGTCACCGCGTTGCGTGCGCACGCCGCCGCGTCCCCCGCGCGGGCGCAGAGCCGCCATGGAGGCCTCGGCGGGCGGCGGCGGCGGCGGCGCCGGGCCCGGGCGCCGCTGGTACTTCAGCCGCGAGCAGCTGGAGCGCAGCCCCTCCCGCCGCGCCGGGCTCGACCCGGACAAGGAGCTCTCGTACCGTCAGCAGGCGGCCAACCTGCTGCAGGACATGGGGCAGCGCCTCAACGTGTATCCATCCGGGCCCGCGCTCTAGGCCGCGCTAGGCCGCGGGGTGTGGGGGGGAGCGGGGCGGGGCGGGGAGGGCGCGGAGAGGGGGGAGACGGGAGGGTCGGGAGGGACGGGGGAGGGTGTGGGGAGAACCAGGAGCGGGGAAGGGAAGGAGCGGCCCCGGAGCGGGGAGAGCCCAGCCCGACGTTGGGGTTTAGCAGAGCCCGGCCCGGCATTGAGCAGAGCCCGGCCCGGGAACGGGGAGGTCGGTGCTGGCGTATCGGGAAAGCCCGTCTCGGCTCGGGAGCGAGAGGAGCCGAGCCCTGTTTTTTGGATCGAGGAAGTCCCGTTTCGGGAGCGAGCAGAGCCGCACTGGCGTGTTGGGGAGGCTCGGGAACGCCCGACCGGCCCGGAAGCGCCCAGCCCGTTTTGGGATCGAGGAGATCCCGTTTCGGGAGCTCGGAGAGCTGTGCCGAGGTGCGGAGAAGGGAAGACGTGAGCGGCCGGGAGAGCCGAGCTTGTGTGGAGGTCGAGGAGATCCCGAAATGGGTTTTGGGAACAGGGAGAGCTATGCTGGGCTGTCGGGAAGGCTCAGCCTGGGAACGAGGAGAGCTGAGCCTGTGTTGGGATCTGGGAAAGCCCAGTTTAGGATCGGGAGGAGCCGTGCTGGGATGCAGGGAAGACCCAGCCCAGGAATGCGGAGAGTTTGTCCCATCCCAGTGGGATCAGTTCCAAGGGCTCCCCTGAGGAGAAACCCCCTGCCCGGGGGTCTCTGTCACGGCTGTGCCTTTCCTTAACCCCCTTCTCAAGCTCCCAGCTCACCATCAACACAGCTATCGTGTACATGCACCGCTTCTACATGGTGCAGTCCTTCACCCAGTTCCACAGGAACGTAAGTGCTGGGATCTGGGGGGAAAGGGGGGCACTGGGAATTCCCCAGCTCCGCTCTGGGGAGGTGGGACTGGCCCCCGGGGGAGGGATTTTTGGGAAGGGGGAGGGATGAGAAGAGAGACCCTTTTCTCCCTCCTGGTGGTGGCTGGACTTGCACAGGCTTCACTTCCTGGAAGAACGTGGAGAATTCACCTGATTTATTTGATTTATTGTCGGGTTTGGTGACTTTTTGAAGTGACTTTTGTGTCTCTCCCCTCAGTCCGTGGTGCCGGCGGCGCTTTTCCTTGCAGCCAAGGTGGAGGAGCAGCCCCGGAAGCTGGAGCACGTCATCAAGGTGGCACATGCTTGTCTGCACCCCCAGGAGCCTCTGCTGGACACCAAGAGCGAGGTGGGTGTGGGGATGGAGCCCTGGGATGTGCTCTGAGGAGTGGGAATTGCCTCTGGAATCGTGTGGCTCCGGTGGCTCCTTGACCCTCCCGGGGGCAGCTTCCCAGTCCAGCAGCTCCTGCTACGGGGAGATTTGGGCTTCCCTGCTCTGGGTAACCTCTGCTCTGCTCTTCTGCACACCTGGGTCCAGGTGTGGTGGGAGCCAGTGTCCCTGGAATGCTGCCCAGGAGGGCAGGGGAGCCAGAGTGGAGCAGAGGTGGGAGCAGTTTGTCCCCATGCCTGTCACAGGGGGTTAAAAACGCTGCTGGTCCCCCCCCACCTCTCCAGACAGCCCATTTCACCTGGAGCTGGGCAACCAGTCCTGCTGGAAGGGGCAGCTTTTTTTCCAGGGAAACTTATGGAAGATGAGAGGGAAAAAAAGGCAGGAATAGCTGCTGATTCCTGCTAATTCCTTTCCTGCTCCTGTGCCACCCCAGGAGTGTGGGGGATCAGCACCCAGGGCCACCCCAGCGCTCTGCTCCCTCTTTCACACAATCCCAGGATGGTTTGGGTTGGAAGGACCTTAAACCCCATCCTGTCCCACCCTCCTGCCATGGGCAGGGACACCTTGTACCAGCCCAGCTTGCTCTGAGCTCCATCCAGCCTGGCCTTGAGCACTTCCAGGGGGTCTGTGCCAGTGGCCCCGTGCAGGGAGATTCCCAATTTTTCCCCTGGAGAGAAGGGTGTTAGGAATGTGCAGGCTTGATCCGAGTGCCTCTCCGTGAGTAACCTGCCTGTCCTCTCAACCCCAGGCTTACCTGCAACAAGCCCAAGACCTGGTCATTCTAGAGAGCATAATACTGCAGACCCTGGGTAAGTTGTTTGAAGCGGCCGGGCTGCCACACGAATCCCAGAGCCAGGAGAATTCCACAGGCTGGAGAGCCTGACCCCTGCTGTCTTCTCCCCAGAGTCCAGGCAACAAACCCCCTTTTTCAGCCTCACTCTTGTTTTAACATCAGTTTTTCCAGGTGTAACTTGTGCCAGGCCCAATGCTCAGAGAGATTTTAAGTGTGGCTTGTCTCTTTTTTTCTTTTTTCTTTGGTTTTTTTTTTTTTTTCTTTTTTCCCCCTAAAAAATCCCAGGATTTCTGCTGCTTGGACACCGATTGCTGTCATGGGTTGTGCTTTCCAGCTCAGTCATAGAATCATGGAATGGTTTGGGTTAAAAGGGACCTTAAAACCCACCTAGTTCCAACCCCTAAAGCTCTAATTCTGTTGCAGGAAGCAGTTTGTGCTGAGAGATGTCTAAAAACCCCAGTTAAAAAGTGAATATTTGCATCAAATAATTGAATTGGGGGGAAAAAAAACCCCAAAAAACCAACAAACCAGCAACAGTTTTTGGAAGTAGAAGTTGGAGCCTCCACGTAGGGCGGTGGTTGGTGGACCTGGTACCCTGTTCCTTTCTCAAATGTGCTGTTAAAAGTTGTTCTTACTAACACATGTTCCGTTTCAGAGGCAGTTTGTAGGCAGATTTTCTCTCCAAAAGAGCAGGAGTTGTTACTCCTGTGTGGATTCAGAGCAGACACTCCCGTGTGTCCCCCCCTCAGGAGGGGCTGAGGTGTTGTGGGCCACAAACCCGTGGCTGAACTGAGCCCAATTCTGCAACCACTCAGTTCTCCAGTTGCCTTTCCAAACATCCCAGTTCTTCTAGAACATTCTGCAGATCTGCTGCACACATGGACCAACTGGAATTCTTTCTCCCTTTAAAACATAATTCCCAAACTGAGGAGGAAACCGGAGCGAGGATTAAACTCAGTTGTCCTCAGGCCCCTTCAAAGGGAAACAATCTGCTTCCTCTCAGCTTTTTGGGTGAGAGAAATTCCTTGGAGCAGATGCCATTGTCTTCTCCTTCCTCCCAGCTGCTCCAAGAGGCTTTGTCCTGCTATTTTTAAAATCCTTAATAGTTGTTTTGTTCCCAGTGAGGCCTTTCAGAAGTCCCCGAGCTCTGGGGAGGTCTGGCAGCACCAGAGAGACCTTCAGGGTTTGTGGCTGGAGAACTTGAGGCTTCTGGATGCAGGAAAATGGGCTCCTCTATTCCTGCCCAGCTCCGAGCAGGGCTGGAGGAGGGAAGGGGAGCAGGAAGCGTGGATCCAGGGCTGTGCTGCTGGTCCTGATGGTCGTTTGTCTGTGTCCTTGCAGGGTTTGAGATCACTATTGACCATCCCCACACCCACGTGGTGAAGTGCACCCAGCTCGTGCGAGGTGAGGGGCAACTGGGAAGGGAAGGGCTGGGAAAACAGGGTGGGATGTCTAGCTGAGACTGTTCCAGAGCTTCCCAGAATCCTGGGATGGGTTGGATTGGAAGGGCAGGGACACCTTCCACAAGACCATGTTGCTCCCACCTGGCCTTGGACACTCCCAGGGATCCAGGGGCAGCCACAGCTCCTCTGGGCAACCTGTGCCAGGGCCTCCCAGGGAGGGATTTCTTCCCAGTATCCCATCTAAATCCCACCTTTTCCTGTGGGAAGCCATCCCCCCTTGTCCTGCCACTCCAGGCCTTGTCCAAAGTCCCACATGATGGTCACCCCAGAGCCTTTTCCAGGCTGATCAGTCCCAATTCTCCCAGCCTTTCCTCACAGGAAAGCTGTTCCATCCCTGTAATCATCCTCAAAAAGAGGCAGTTCTAAATTATTCTGGCTCTGTTGAACTCCACAAAGCTCTCAGTGAACAGAATTCCCCAAATCCCTGTGGCTGTGGCCTAGAGTGTGTTAATCCATGGGTGGCATGTGGCCCTTGCACCAAAATATGATAATGTTTATCAGAATATGCAAGTAACACCCTGCTTTTTCCTTTTATCTTACAGCCAGCAAGGACTTGGCACAAACTTCCTATTTCATGGCTACGAACAGGTTATTATTTTTTTTTATTTTATAATTGATTTATAATTTGTCTGCTGCTGGTGACTCTGGGGGCATCGCTCAGCCTGGGAGCAGCTGGGAGTCCCTCAGGAGGAGCCTTAAGAAAGGGTTCCTACCCTTTTTCCTGCCAGCTGCTGGGCAAAACCAGCTGGAAAATGAGGCAGGTGGGGTGCTCAGGAGCTTCAGTGCTTGTTTTATAAGAATTTAACTGTGAAAGTTTAAAGGAAAACCCAAAACAAACAAAAAAAGGTGAAATGAATGTATACATTTTTCCTTGCTCAGTCCCAGGTGTTGGAGAGTTTTCACTGAACAAGGTGCTGTGGAAATTGTCCATGAATATGGTTTGTGCTCAGAAAAAGGCTGATTTAGGGTATAAATGGGGGGTAAAAACAGAGTTGGGTGCAGGCCAGGAGGAAACTGTGCTGTGAGTAGAACCTTGGAAAGAAAAAGCAGCCCAAGTTCATCTTCTGGGTTTTGTCCCTAAATTTTCACTTCCAGGCTGATGCCAGCAACTTGTGTTGGGATTATTTTTCAGTTGAATTTCCTGGATTATCAGCTTCAGGCAAATCATGGAGTGAATGTCACAGATATGGAAAATGTTGTGTTTTTGTGAAACTAGGGAGGAACAGAAGGTGGTTTGGGAGCCAGAATGGGTGAAGCTGCAGGGCCAGAGCTGCCTCCGAGCCCTGGGAATGCCTGTGGGCACTGGTTTCCCTCCTCTCCACCTGGGAGGTGTTCCCTGCTCACCTGCACTGTTTGTTGAAGGTGTTCTCAGGCTCCAAAGGGCACCTGTGGATTTCCGGCATCGGGAATGTGATGTTGGTGATATTTGGGTAAACACAGCCCTGAAACCTCTTTTATCCCTGCAGCAAGAATTGCAAAGTCAGGGAATTGGGAGTTAAGACTGTAACTAGGGAAATCCAGGCAGAAAGGACGAAGTGGAGCCTCAGCTTTGCCCCAAAGTGATGCCTGAGGGAGATGCCTTGGGGATGAACTGGATTTATCCATGTGTTCCACTTGGATTTCCTTCTGGCATCGTTATGGGGCAGAGTTGAGGCTCTTTGTGCACCTTAAGTGCATTCTGCCAAGGCTCTGAATTTCCTGCTTCTTCTGGATAAACCCAGGATCCATGAAACCTCAGGATTTTTGGCTGTAGATTCCCTATTTCTGCCTCTCCACCTTTCACTGGTGGAAAAACGTTCAATAAGGTGGTGAGGGGATGGTGCTTGGGGGCTCTTTTTCCCAAAGGGCCCATTTGTGTGTGGGCAGATCCCACGCTCAGACTTGCTTCCATGTTTCCTAAAGCTCTGGTGTTCCTGCAGGGAGAGCAGGATCCTTTTAGCCCCTTGGTTCTTGCTTTCCCAGTGCTGCCCACGCTTCCCAGCACTGAGTGGGAAATTCGTTTATTAATGAAAACACTTGGTAGGTGACCTGGCTCAGGTGCTCCTGGGTCACTCCAGCATTGAGTGTGTATTCCTGAAAATCCTTTGGGAAAGACCAGACCCTTCCTAAAGCTAAAAAAAGGGCTAATTTGCTCCTTCAGTGCCATCCAGGAGTTGTGCTTGGAAGTTTCTCCTCAGAGCAGAGGTGGGGCCGGCAGGTCCCCATTGACTTTCCTCTTCCTTGGAGATCCCAAATTTCCTGTACCAAAACAGGGATAGGCAAACCGGTGGAGGAGATCCCAAGTCTCCCGTAGCAAAACAGGGACGAACAAACAAACTGGTGGAGGAGATCCCAAAATTTCCCGGAGCAGAGCAGGGCCAACCAAACCCAGTGGTGCAGAAACCCCCCCCGGGCGGTGGAGCCGGGACGGATCCGGCTGTGCCCGGGGGTCGTTCCGGGGAGGTCCCGAGGGCCACCTTCCACATTCCCCCCCGTGTCCCGCGTGGATGCTGCGGCTCAGGCGTGGGAGTTGATGGCTTTCTGTTTTCTCTCCCGGTGACGTCAGCCTGCACCTGACCACCTTCAGCCTGCAGTACACCCCGCCCGTTGTGGCCTGCGTCTGTATCCACCTGGCCTGTAAGTGGTCCAACTGGGAGATCCCAGTCTCCACGGACGGGAAGCACTGGTGGGAATACGTTGATGGCACTGTAACTCTGGAGCTCTTAGATGGTAAGTTTGGGAGCGAGGTTTTTTTCCCCCCCAAAAAAAAAAAAAGAAAAAAGAAAAAGGCTCTTAAATGATTTTGGCATCTTCGGTCCTGGGTCTGATGTTCCAACACCACCTCACGGGCTCCAGGATTTCAGGGCTTGCCGAGGTTTCCAGGGCAGCAGCAGCTTCTGTAGCAGCACAGAGAGATGAGTTTAAATGTGTCAGTGGTTCCAGTTCTCAGAGTTCCCCTCCCGGAGCAGCTCCATCCCACCAGTAGCTCCATCCATCAGAAGAGGGGGTTGTCCTGAGGGACCAGGGCTGCTCTGACCCTCCCGCTCGGGTTTGTGTCTCCTCTGCAGAACTGACCCATGAATTCCTGCAGATCCTTGAGAAAACTCCCAGTCGGCTTAAACGGATCCGGAACTGGCGGGTAAGAAACTCTGGACATTCTCTGTGATTCCTTTGGGAATGGCAGTGCAGGACAGTGTCTGGGAAGGGAGCGTGTGTGTGGAATCTGAATGCCTGTGAGTGGTGCTCGAGGTTGTCTGTACTGAATTAACTCTGGAGAGACTTTGCTTTTCCAGCTGCAGTAGCAGCCTGGCTTCCAGGGCTTGGGAATCTTCCCACAAGGAGGGATGGGGGCAAAATCTGTCTGTCCTGACGAGCTCCAGTGACACCCCAGAGTAAACACCCGGTTGGTCTTTCAATTCCAGGCCTCTCAAGCAGCCAGAAAGTCCAAGACCGACGACCACGGAGACGACGAGAACCTGTCGGAGCAGACCATCCTCAACATGATCTCCAGGAACAACAGCTCGGACATGAACATCGCTGGGCTCATGAGCATGTCCACGTCCTCCACGGCCGGCGCGGGGCCGGCGCTGGCGCCCGCCGCCGATTCCCCCGGCGAGCCGAGCGCCGCCGACCCTTCCCAGGCAGATCATTGGCATCCCCCGGCCAAGCTGGACATCCACAGGACTAGCGAGAGCTCCTCGGCCGCCGCCGAGCACCCCCAGCAGGACGGTGCCTCCTACCCAAAGCAGGGCACCAAGAACGCGCCGTCGGCCAAGGTGTCCCTCAAGGAGTACCGGGCCAAACACGCCGAGGAGTTGGCGGCGCAGAAGCGGCAGCTGGAGAACATGGAGGCCAACGTGCGCTCCCAGTACGCCTACGCCGCCCAGAACCTGCTGGTGCAGCAGCAGCGGGAGAGGGAAGGGCAGCAGGACAGCAACCCCTCCCCGATCATCCTGAAAATCCCCATCGCGGGCTCGGACAACCCCGAGCGCCCGCCTGGCGCCGACAAGGGCGACAAAGCCCTCAAGATGAGGCTCCAGGCTGGGGCAGGGGCGGGCGGGGAGAGGCCCATCCCCTCCAAGCAGGAGGAGATCAAGATGCGGATCAAGGTGCCGGGGGGCCCCGGAGACAGGCACGGCTCCGCGGACGAGGGCGGGAAGAGCCGGGAGTACAAGGAGAAGCACAAGGGCCACTCGTCCAACCACCACCACCACCACCACAACCACCACTCGCACAAACACTTGCACGCCCAGCTCGGCGCCGGCCCCAGCACCGCGGCCAAACGCCCGGGGGACTCCAAGCACGGCGCCCAGCCCGGCGCCGCCGCCCCCCACAAGGGCTACGGGCCCCTCGCCCCCACCCGCAAGAGACCCCTGCCCGAGGAGCCCTCGGCCGCGCCCCACGAGCACCAGCCCAAGGCGGGCAAAGCCTCCAAAGGCCCCGCGGTGCCGTTCCCGTACTCCCACCTCCCCGGGGCCTCCCACCTGCCCGGGCACAGCTCGGATTTATCCCAGCCCGGCAAAGCCCAGCGGGGCGCCCACAAATCGGACAAGGGGCCCTCGGGGGCCAACGGGCACAACGCCAGCCAGGCCAGTGACTATCAGGACACGGTGAACATGCTGCACTCGCTGCTGAGCGCGCAGGGCATGCAGCCCACCCAGCCCCCCGCCTTCGAATTCCACTCGTACGAGCTCCTGAACCCCCGGGCTTCCAGCGGCTCCCGAGCTGCCGCCAACACGGACAAGCCCCGACCGCCCCCCCTGCCCTCGGAACCGCCCCCCCCGCTGCCCCCCCTCCCCAAGTAAACCCCCCCCTCCCCTTTTTACTACTGAGTCCAGAGCCCGAGCCCGAACCCGCGGGGCTTGAGAAAGGGCTTTTTGATCTCCACTGCCTCACGAAGAACTTATTTTATTATAATATAACTTTTATTATTGATATTTAGTTGTTAAAAAGCTGTGAAAGGATAAGGAACCCTTTCTCTATTCCTTCCCTTTCCCCCCATAGGCTCCCAGTTAGTGTTGGGCTTTGCCCCCCCCTCTGGGGAACGTGGGGGGTATTTAAAATATGTCACAGAAAATTTAAGATGTTTTACAAATAATTTAAGCATTAACTTATATCTTAGTGGTTTTGGTCCTTTTAATTCCATGGGGCTGCGGTGGAGCCCGGGGAGGATTTGGGGGAGGAGTTGGTGGTGGGGGTTCTTCTTGAGCTGTTGGAGATTGGATGTGGATTTAGGAGTTTTTGGGGGAAGGGGAGATGTGGGGGGTAAGGGAATTCCGTGTGATAGGAGCTGCTCTCCCTGCCATGGTCCTGTTTCCTCGCTCCTAAACCTGCTCTGATTTGGGAATGGTGTCTCTGTCCCTTATTCCCCTCCTGCAGCCCAAGGCTGGTGTGTGCAGAGCTGGGTTTAGGGCTGTGTTGGAGGACTTGGCTGTCAGGGTGATCAGGACAGGATTATGGTGCATTCCTAGTGGGATGAGGATTCAGGATCACCATGCCCAGGGCAGCTCTTCCAGGGAATTCCATTGGCACGTGGCTGTTCACAGCCAAGCTGGAAGCAGCTTTTACACAGCTCAGGGATCCACCAGAGTTTGGGTTGAATGTTTGGGGAAACCCCATTTCCTTCCTTCTTAGGCTTTTACTCTCCCACCTTCAATAAATGGATGGTCTCTGGATGGTTTTTGGGAAACTTGTTCCACATGGGCTTGTTTTTAGGAAGATTCAGTGCTGGCCTCTCCCTCCAGCACCTCTACCCTCGGTGACCCTCCCCCTGCCAACGGTTTGGGAACGGGTTTAGGTCCGTTTTTGGGTCTGGCTTAGATTTCAGGCTCTGGACAAAGGCCCAGCCCTTTGTTTCCCCCAGCTCCTTTGGAGGCCGGTTTCTCCCGGGATGAAGAGGTTCTGCCTTTCCCGTTAACCGGCGGGGAGCAGTGTCGGTCTGCAGCCAGTCCGGGAAACCGGGAGGGGATCGGGAACAATGTGGGGGGCTCTTGGCCAAGCCCTAGGACCACGCCGGGGCTCCCGGGAGCTCCTCCCTTCCCGGGGCCGAAGCCCAATCCCGGTGTCGCGTCCCCCGGGGACCCCCCGGTCCCACGTGTCGCGTTCCCGCCGCGCCCCGCCCACGTGACCACCGGGGGAGGCGTGGCCGCTCCCCTCGTGAGTGACGGCGGGATCGCCCAACCGCGCGCGGCACCGCCCCCGCGCCCGCCGCCGATTGGCTGCCGGGCGGGCCAGTGAGGCGGCGGGGCGGGCGCGCGCCGGGTCTGCGCGGAGGCCGCGGCGGCAGCGAGGTAAGATGGCGGCGGCGCCGCCCGCCCACGGAAGGGTCCCGGCGCAGCCCCTCGCCGCGGCCCCCGCGCGCTGCTCCGGGCCCCCTCAGCCCCGCACCGCCCCGCGGGCGGGCCCCCACCCCGCTCTCCGCGCCGACAGCGCCTTCTGCGCGGCCCCCGGGGGTTCCCCCGCTCGCCGGCCGCCCGCGGACAAAATGGCGGCGCCGGGGCGGCGGGAGCGCGCATGCGCGGGGGAAGCGGCGGGGGAGCACGTGCGCGGGGGGGGCGCCGGGATAGGAACCGGGATGGGATACCGGGATAGACTGGGATGGGGACCGGGATAGACTGGGATGGGATACCGGGATAGACTGGGATGGGGACCGGGATAGACATGGATGGGCACTGGGATGGGGCACCGGGACAGAGGCGGAGTGGACACCGGGGTAGATCGGGATGGAAACCGGAATACATCGGGATAGAGGTGAGATGAGAACCGGGATGCAGCGGCACGCAGGCCGGAACGGGCACTTGGAGGCACCAGGAGCGCGGGGATGCAGGCAGGGATAGGAACCGGGATACCCCGGGATTCAGGAGGAGGGAGTTCTGTTCTGGTCCTGTACTGGTCAGTGATGGGGGGGTGAGCCCGGGAACTGGGGGGGTCCTGGAGGGATGGGGACCGTACCGGCCATGGGGGTCAGAATTTTACTCACATCAGTTCCCAGCTGCTGCTCTTCATCCTGTCGGTGTTTCTTTCCCTCTCTTTCCCTGCAGGCGTTGCCATGAACAGGATCCGGATCCACGTGCTGCCCACCAGCCGGGGCCGCCTGACCCCGGTGCCTCGGCCTCAGGAGCCACTGGCCTGTGCCTTCAGCCCCCGGCCCTGCTCCCAGCCCCGCCTGGAGGGGCAGGAATTCTGCATCAAGCACATCCTGGAGGACAGGAATGCTCCCTTCAAGCAGTGCAGTTACGTGTCCGCCAAGAATGGGAAGCGCTGCCCCAACGCTGCCCCTAAACCCGAGAAGAAGGATGGGTGAGTGCCTCCTCTGCCTCCTGGTTTTCCCGGTGTTCCCCGTGGTTTTTGCCCTGTGGAATTCAAATGACCAGGAGGAGGTTCTTCTCCTTGTGATCCCCGCTGAAGGAAAGGCTGGAGCTGTGTCAGCAGAGGGTTGGGTTGGATTTTTGGGAAATATTCTTTCTCCAGAGGGTGGTCGGGCACTGAACAGGCTCCCCAGGGTTTGGTCACGACCCCAAGGCTGCCAGAGCTCAAGGAGCATTTGGACAACACTCTCAGGAGTTGGGATTTTGGGATTAATGGGATTTTGGGGTGTCCTGTGCAGGGCCAGGAGTTGGATTTTGATGGTCCTTCTGGGTCCCTTCCATTTCAGGATATTCCATGATTCTAGAGCTCAGGGAGCATTTGGACAACACTCTCAGGCACATGGTGTGATTTTGGGAGTAGTGGGATCTTGGGGTGCCCTGCACAGGAGTTGGGCTGGATGATCCTTGTGGGTCCCTTCCAGCTCAGGAGATTCCATAATTTTCCTCCTTCAACTGCTGCACTTGGATCACCTCAGAGAAGCATCTCCCCTTTCTCAAAGTGTTTTTAAGCTGGAAAAAGGCTCCAGGGAGTCCTCTTGGCACCATGGCTGTGCCCTGGGCCAGCAGGAGGTGGCTGCAGTGCTCCAGGCCCTGCCTGGGAGCCGTCCCTCCCTCATCCCAGCACGGAGCTTCCCGCTGCCTGTGCCGGCGGATAATCCCCAGCGCAGCCACTCCAGCCCTGGGGAGCTTTGCCCTGGTTGTGCTGCTGCTTCTCTGAGGTGTTTAAAATACTCCTGGATGGTCAGAGGGAGGGAGCAGCTCTGCCATGGGGAAAGGCTGGGAGAGTTGGGGTTGTTCGGCCTGGAGAAGGGAAGACTTTGGGCTGACCTTCCAGGACATGGAGGGAACCTGCAGGAAAGGTGGAGAGAGACTATTTCCAAGGGTCTGGAGTGCCAGGACAGAGGGGAATGGCTTCAAACTGACAGGGGACAGGGTTAGATGGGATATTGGGAAGAAATTCCTCCCTGGGAGGGTGGGGAGGCCCTGGCACAGGTTGCCCAGAGAAGCTGTGGCTGCCCCATCCCTGGAAGTGTCCCAGGCCAGGTTGGAGCAGCCTGGTCTGGTGGAGGGTGTCCCTGCCCATGGCAGGGGGTGGAACTGGATGATGTTTAAGGTCCCTCTGACCCAAACCATCCATGATTCCATGGTTCCTTCCCTGGCTGAGGGCTGGGGGCTGTAACGAGCCCTGGTTTATCCCTCAGCACGTCCTTCTGCGCGGAGCACGCCCGTCGGAACGCGCTGGCGCTCCAGGCCCAGGTGAAGAAATCCCACCCTGGACCTGTGAGCGAGACCCTGCTGTGCCAGCTGAGCTCCTATGCCAGGTCAGAGCTGGGCTCCCAGAGCACGGAGAGCGTCCGGAGCGAGGCCAGCCGCATCCTGGGTAAGGGCTGCACCCAGAATCCCCCTGGGAGAGGGCCTGGGCGCTCCTGTTTTGTGTGGAAAAGCCCAGAATATCCCTTCTTTAATCCAGTGGGAAAACCACCCTGGGGTCTGGGGGTAAAAGGTGCTGTTTTGCAAACCTTGGTGTGTCTCTCCTGCAGAGCAGGCGCAGGTGCCAGACCCAAATCCTGCAGGTTTAATATGGAAATGTCAGTGGGGTTGCTCAGTGGTGGTCCATGGTTCCTGGGAAGGCTGCTGGGGGCCGGGTGGGTTTGACCTTGCCCAGCTGGGGGGGGGTCTCCTGTTGGTTCCTGCTCCATGTCCCTCGCTCAGTTTTGGGGTGGAGAATTCCCTCTGGGCACGAGGCAGAGCCAGCTCAGCTCCCTGGGGCTGTGGGGCCATCCCGGGCCGTGGGGCGGTGTCCTGTCATTCCCGGTGCCGTGTGTTCCAGACGAGGACAGCTGGAGTGACGGGGAGCAGGACCCTGTGACCGTGGAGCAGACGTGGCGGGGGGACCCCGACAGCGAGGCCGACAGCATCGACAGCGACCAGGAGGATCCCCTCAAGTGGGTCTGGGGGGGTTAAATCCTGTTAAATCCATGTTAAATCCTGTGAGGAGCTGCATGCCCCACACCCTTTGGGTATTCAGCTCCAAGGGACCCACACATCCTTCAGGAGAATAATCCTGGGGAATCCCCACACCCTGTGGGAGAAAACATCCGAGGGACCTCCACACCCTCTGGGGAACAATCCCGAGAGACCCCCGCACCCCTTGGGAGAACAATCCTGGAGGATCCTCACACCCCTTGGGAGAACAATCCTGAGGAATCCCCACACCCCTTGGGAGAACAATCCTGAGGGATCCCCACACCCTTGAAGGAGAACAACCCCGAGGGCCCCATCCCAAACGGCCCCTGGTTTTTCCAGGCACGCCGGGGTGTACACGGCCGAGGAGGTGGCTCTGATCATGAGGGAGAAGCTGATCCGGCTCCAGTCCCTCTACATCGACCAGTTCAAGCGGCTCCAGCACCTCCTGAAGGAGAAGAAGCGCCGGTTCCTGCACAGCCGGAAGGGAGAGCACGAGGCCATCGGTGAGCCCGGGGCCACCTGGCCGAGGGTGTGCCCAGAAAAACGTCTCAAAGGAAGGGTTTTTGGCCTTTGTAGAGGCAGATTTTGGAGCAGGGTGAGGGTTCCACGCTCAGGTGTTTTCATTGAGGGGCTGGAGCTTGTGCAGAGATGGGAATGAGCCTGGAGCACACGGAGAAGGGTCTGGAGAACTGAGGGAGCTGGGGGGGGCTCATGCTGGAGGAAAGGAGTCTCAAGGGGGACCTTCTTCTCTACAGTTCCCTGACAGGAGGGAGGAGCTGGGGGGGCATCAGGCTCTGCTCCCAGGGAACAAGGGACAGGATGAGAGGAAACAGCCTCAAGTTGTGCCAGGGGAGAGTCAGGTTGGACATCAGGAGGAATTTCTCCGTGGAAAGGGTTGTCAGGCATTGGAAGGGGCTGCCCAGGGAGGTGTGGAGTCCCCATCCCTGGAGGTGTCCAGGGAAGGACTGGACGTGGCACTCAGTGCTCTGGGCTGGGGGACAAGGTAGGGGATCAGGCACAGGTTGGACTCGATGATCCTGGAGGTCTTTTCCAGCCCCAGGGATTCTGGGATCCTGTGCTGGCCCCGTGCCCGGAGATCCGTATCGTCGGGGTTCCAAAGCTTTTCCAGAGCATTTCTTTGCTCTTCAAAGCTTGCAGCGTTGACAGGAAATGAGCTTACAAAGTTAATTCTGAGACAAAAGTGCTTTTTTTGTACTGGGATTTCCTGTTTTTGCTTTTATAAACAAAAAATATTCATCCTTTAGGCCCTGGGTGTGTGGGCAGGAGTTGATTCCAGTAGCACCAGTGCTGCTGTACTGGCATATTCCTCCTTAGCATGGATGCAGCTTTCCCTCTGCCTCTGTTGGGATTCTCCCTGTGCAGAATATGCTCTTGGAAGCAGGAATTCCCAGTTCAACTGAGGCAAAACCGGGCTCTGTGACTGATCCCAAGTATTGCAGAGCAGAGGACTCTTTTTTCCAGCATCATCCTTTAATAGCTCATCCCGGAAAATGTCATAATTCAGCTCAGGCCCAAGTAAAAATAACCAGGACTTCGGTACATACCAATTTTGCAGAACTCCTTTTAGCAAAGCAGTCAGAGGAGAGCAGATCTTGAGTGTTGCCCTGTAATTACTCCGGGAATGCTGGCAGGAAGCTTCCAGAACTCGCGCAGGAGCGACCTGGAATTTGACAAGCTCCTGTTCTGCCGCAGAAATCACAACGGACGGGAGTGGCTGGGCTATTTTTAAAAGGGGTTTTAAAATTACCCTGTGGGCCCCAGCGCTCCTGGTGTGCACAGAGAGGTCAGGGTGAATTTTGGGACAGAACCTGCGTTACTTGTGTCACCCAAAGCTTCCCCTTGAGCCTCTGGATCCCCCTCGGAGCCCTCTGACAGCCGATTTGGGTTCTCGATGCTGAAAGAAACAGGGAGGTGGGTGGAGATTCCTTGACTTTTCCGTGGTTCCTGCAGGGAGCAGCCTCCTGACAGGCCCAGAGGGGCTGATGGCCAAGGAGAGGGAGAACCTGAAGCGGCTCAAGTGCCTGCGGAGGTACCGGCAGCGCTACGGGGTGGAGGCTCTGCTGCACCGGCAGCTCCGGGAGCGCCGCGTCCTGGCCACCGACGGCGCGGCCCAGCAGGTCTGTGGGGACACCCCGTGGGGGTCTCCCCTCTTGTCTCTTCCCAGGAGTGATGCCAGGCCCCTGACAGATCCCCCTTCCTGCTGGGACACCGTGGTCTGGTGACCATCCCCCTGTGCTGGGCACCTCCAGTCCTGGGGTTGGTTTTGGGGTCCTCGCTCCCAAGACAGATGTGGAAGGGCTGGAGTGTGTCCAGAGAAGAGAAGGGAGCTGGGGAAGGGGCTGGAGCATAAGGAGAAGGGTCTGGAGAACTTCTGAGGGAGCTGGGGGTGCTCAGCCTGGAGAAGAGGAGGCTCAAGGGGAGACCTTAAACCCCTTCCAATGCCTAAAAGGGGCTTGTTAGAAAGAGGGACTTACACGAGCAGACAGTGATAGGGCAAGAGGGAATAGTTTAAACTAAGAGATGAGAGGTTTAGATGGGATATTGGGCAGAAATTCCTCCCTGGGAGGGTGGAGAGGCCCTGGCACAGGTTGCCCAGAGAAGCTGTGGCTGCCCCATCCCTGGAAGTGTCCAAGGCCAGGTTGGACGGGGCTTGGAGCAACCTGGGCTGGTGGAAGCTGTCCCTGCCTGTGGCAGGGGGTGGAACAGGAGCTTTAAGGTCCGTCATTCCATGATTTCAGGCCCACACCACCCGTTCCAGCCAGCGCTGCTTGGCCTTTGTCGATGACGTCCGATGCTCCAACCCGTCCCTGCCGATGACCCGGCACTGCCTCACACGTATCCTTTGATCCACCTGCTGCTGTCCCTGGCTGTTTGCTGGCCCTTTGCCCTGTCTCTGCCCTTCCTTTTTTCCCCTCCCTGGCCCTAAATCAAGGCCACCGGTTTGCTGTAGCCGTTGGTTTCAAGCAGGAGCCCAGAGGAAACGTCTCCCGGTCTGTCGGTGCTCCCGTCCATGGAGCAGCCGGTTCGTGTGGGAGGGACAAAGGCACGGGCTGGTCCCACCACAGCCTCCCTGATCCAGAGCATCCAGACAGGGCGGGCTGTTCACTTGGAAGCACCCAGAGAACCCAAGGAGGCCTGAGTTGTGAGGGATGTGCGTGGGAAGGGGTGTCTGACCACTGGAGCGTGTCCTTGGGGATTTTGGGGAGGATCTGGAGGGGTAGTTCTGGGTCTGTTTGGAGCTGCTGCTCCCAGCTTGGTCCCTGTGACCCCTTGAAAGGTTCTTTCAACCTTTCAGCCTTGAGCTGTTCCAATTCCCAAAACTGCCTCAACTGTTGGAGACCCGGCACTGAAACTTCCTCTGGGATCTCCCAGCTCAGGGATCACCCCCCAACATGGGACCCACAGCCCCAGCACTGCCCTGGGTGCATCTGCTCCATCCACTCAGATCTGTGAGAGCTCAGTGGTCTGTGGGAGCTTCTGGATTTGTGGGAGCTCGCGAGTCTGTGGGAGCCCCAAGGTTTTTGGGACCCCCTGGGTTTGTGGGAGCTCCTGGGTTTGTTTTGCCCCCAAAGCTGACGGGCTCACCTCCACCCCTGCACAGGGAGCAGGAGCTGGAAGCTGCCTTTGTTCCTCTCTAAACCACCTCAAAATAAAGACAGGATAAATCCCATAAAACAGCCAGAGAAGCCACTGCTGGCAGCTGGTGCTGGGGAGGGCGGGGAGGAGCTCTCAGCTGACTCCCCCTGACACAAACAAGCCTTTCCCATAACATCTGCATCCCGATAACATCTGCAGCCTCTCGGGGCTCTCTGTGCTCCCAGGAGCTGGATTGTTTGTGACAGGGCACTGAAGGGGTGGGGAGAGGCTCCAGGTGGGGCCTGGGGTTTTTGGCATCTCGGGGATCTGTGCTTTTGGCTGCTGGTGAAGTCGGTGCTGGAGCTGGGAGTCACTCCAGGAGATGAAAACCTGCCTTCCCCACCCCTACTCTCCCCACATCTGCCCTCGGGTGGCTCGGATCCATCTCCGCTGGGATGGGCTCTGACATTGCTGCCAGCCTGGATTAGGGTTCCCCACAGCCTGTTAGGAAGTGGATCCATGAGAAATTCTTGTTCAGGGAGGAGAGGAGGGAAGGATGAATCTCAGGCCTTGGCAGCTTAAGAAACTGGGTTAAACTTGGTGAATTTTCCCTGTTTATGTGGGTTTGGGATTTTTTTTCCTCTGCCACGATGTGGTGTTTGAGGGGGAAACTGCAGCATGAAGCCCCCAAAGCTGGAGAGCAGCTGAGATTGGAAGGGGGATTGGAGGGGTCTGAGGAGGCTGAAGGGGTTGGAAGAAAAGGATGGGGATGGGAAGGGGAGAAAGGGGCTGGAAAAACAGGAAGGGATCAAAAGAGGAGAAAAGGGTGGAAGAGGAGGAAGGGGGTTGGACGAAGAGGGCAGGGGTCAGAAGAGGAGGAAGAAGTCAGAAGAGAAAAAGGATCAGAGCAGGATGGGGCTGGAGGAGGATGGGATCAGAGCAGGATGGGGTTGGATCCATAGCTCCTCTGCCTCTGGATCGCTCCACAAGTGCGACACAATCAGAGCAGAGCTTCTGTTTGTGATTAAAGGCAGGAAATCCCATTTACACCTCTGGCAGGAACAGGTTTTCCACTGGGAAGGAAAATGCACTGGGAAGATAGAAATACCGGAACTAAACTCCTGGCTGTGGGAGAGGCATTGTGTGTGCTGGGATGTCCCTGTGTGTGGGGCTGGAGCTGATCCCTCTCCGTGGCTGTCTGCAAACAAAAGTTAATCCCGTGCCTTTGTGACATCCACACGAGGATCTGCGAGTGGTTTACAGGGATCCAGTCACATCTCCCAGCCCCCACGGGGAGGCTGTGGCTGTTGTCCCAGTTTTCCATCATGGAAAAAAACGTCACCCACGTCCCTGGGCAGTCGGGATGGAGCTCTGGGGTGTGGATTCTTCATCAGGGAGAAATGGGGGTGGGGAGGGGGATTGGGAGTCTGGATGTGTGCCTGGCTGTACCTGGGCTGCTTTCCTTGACCAGCTCTTCCCAGATATCTGCCAGGACACGAACCAGACGCTGTTCAAGCCGTGCCAGGGCTCCGAGGAGGTGCCCTGCAACAAGCCCGTCCCCGTGAGCCTGTCAGAGGATCCGTGCTGCCCCCTCCACCTGCGCCTGCCCCCCCAGATGTACATCCCAGAGCAGGGCCTGGCCGTGCCCCAGGAGCTGGGAGCTGCTCCCTCGGAGCTGTACCTGAGCGCGGCCGAGCTCCAGCCCACCGAGAGCCTGCCCCTGGAATTCAGTGATGTAAGTGGGGCCCACAGCCCTCTGCCCTCCTGAGAGAGCCCTCCTGGAATGCTGCATCCAGGTCTGGGATCCTCGGCACAGGGGGAGGACGTGGAGCTGCGGGAGTGAGGGCGGAGGAGGCCGTGGAGGTGCTCCAAGGGCTTGAGCTCCTCAGCCATGGAGATGGGCTGGGAGAGCTGGGAGTGTCCAGCCTGGAGAAGGGAAAGCTCTGGGGAGACCTGAGAGCCCCTTCAGGCACTGAGAGAGATGGAGAGGGACTTGGGACAAGGGCCTGGAGTGCCAGGACAAGAGGGAATGGTTTCCCACTGGCAGAGGGCAGGGTTAGATGGGATATTGGGAAGAAATCCCTCCCTGGGAGGGTGGGGAGGCCCTGGCACAGGTTGCCCAGAGAAGCTGTGGCTGCCCCATCCCTGGAAGTGTCCCAGGCCAGGTTGGAGCAACCTGGGCTGGTAGAAGGTGTCCCTGCTGTGGCAGGGGATGGGACTGGATGAGCTTTAAGGTCCCTCCCAGCCCAAACATTCCTGGGATTCTGTGAAAGTGCTGGAGCGGGGAAGGTTTGGTAGCTGTTCCTCAGGGTTGGTGGCTGCTCCTTTGGAAGGGCTGTGCTCATTTAAATCCCTGTAGGGGCCTCTTAAAGAGAGGATTTCCCCCCCCTCCATTTTCTCTCCCATGAGGAAAAAATGAGGATTTTAATCCCCAGATTATTCTGGCATCCTGCATTTAAACCAACACACTTAAACTCCTCGGAAATTTGTTTAAGCAAAACAAAAACACCCCAATCCGTGGGAGCTGCTCCTCTGAGTGAGGTGTCACCTCAGGCTTTGGTTGCTCCCGAGATTCCTGAGCGCTGCTGTTGGAGACAAACCTCGGATCCGCTTTGGAGTTCGCTGGTGGAGGAGGAGGGATTCCAGCAGCTGCAGAGCCCCAGGGATGGCAGGAGCCAGGAGAGCAAATGGGGTCAGGCTGGGGGAGCTCGGATCAAATCCCAGCCCCTTCCTGTGCGAACAGGAGGTGGATTTTTTGGGGGTTGGAAAGGAAAAACGGGAGTGTTTTCCCCCATCCTGGGCTCCGGAGCCGCGGCTGCCGGGGGCATCTGTGTTGTGTCTCACGTCGTGCCAGGCTGGGGAGGTGCCACTCGGGAGTCGCAGGAATCTCACCCTCATGTCAAACTCCCTCTGGAGCCAAAACAAATCCCAGCCTCTCCCAAATCCCACCCTCTCCCCTCTGCAGATGGAGGAGTCCTCGGAGCCCATCCGTCCCCATCTGTGGTGTGACATCCTGGAGAGGGGGGGCTGCTCTGGGGGTCCCCAGGAGGACACTTCTGGGACAGCACATCCCTCTGGGCTCCAGGCCGTGCGTCCCAACACCTTGTCCTGGGATCATTCCTGCAGGAGGAGGAGGAGGAGGAGGCTCCTGTGGTGTGTTCTAGCTGCTGGATGGGGGTCCTGCTGGCACAATGCCCACTCCTCCTCCTCCTCCTCCTCCTCCTTCTCCTTCTCCTCCTCCTCTTCTGCTGCTCCAGGGGTGACAGAGAAGGGCTGTGAGGATCTGGGTCTCCTCAGACCCTTCCTGACGAGCCCCTCCACTGTTTTTCTCCCCCCAGGACCTGGACGTGGTGGGTGATGGAATGCAGTGCCCCCCGTCCCCTCTGCTCTTCGACCCTTCCGTGACCCTCGAGCCGTCCCTGCGGGATGTGGCCGAGGCTCCCATCGACATCCTGGCGCTGGAGGAGCCGGACAGGGGCAGCTCCTCGGCCCCCCTGGCTGAGCCCCCTGTGCAGGTACGGCCTGGTGGGGCTGCAGCCCCTCGGGATGTGCTTTTCCAGTGGGAGAACCACCCCCTTTCTGCCCTCCCACCTCACAACCAGGCCCGGAGGGCTCCTCTCCCATGCAGTGCCCACCCTCTGGATGACATCAGGGATGGGGGCGGCCCCCGGGATGGCTCCGTGGGTGTCCTGGGAGATGTCTGGGACACTGGGGATGTGTGGCCATGGGGGCTGCCCGCTGTGGGAGCCTCTTAATCCCAGCTGGGGGTTTTCAGGGGAGTGGCTTCCCAGGCCGAAGGTTCTGTTTTCTCCTTTGGAGTCGCGTTTTTCGCTGGAGCAACTTGAGTTTGCTCCTCCCGTGTCCCGCCCGGAGCCTGGGGCTTCCTTGGGATGACCCCCCAGAGAGTCCTCTTTGAAGATGTCACCTTGTCCTGCCTCCCCTGCCCTCCCTGGGTGGGTGCTGAGTTTTGGGGTGGAGGGGGGCCCAGCCCAGGCTCTGACTGAAGACCCCCGGTTTGCTGTAGCCGTTGGTTTCAAACAGGAGCCCAGAGGAAGCGTCTCCCGGTCTGTTGGTGCTCCCGTGCCATGGAGCAGCCAATTCGTGTGGGAGGGACACCAGCCCAGGCTGGTCTGGCCGTGTCCCACCACAGCCAGCTCAGTGTCCCTGTTCTGTCCCCAGCAGGGTCACCTCCCAGGCCGGACGGGGCATCAGGATGACCAGGAGGAAACGGCCTCGGCCACCCCGGCCCGGGGAGCCACTGCCAACGGGAGCCTGGAGCCGGGGGCTGTGAGCTGAGCCCAGCACCCCCTGGATCTCTGCTCCTGTGGGACCCTCAGCGTGGGACGGGGGGGACCCTTGGCGTGGGATGTGGGGGGACCCACAGGCGCTGATGTCCTGGTCCAGTGCCAGGATGAGCCACAGCTCGGGTTCCTCTGCTGATGTGATTCTTGGGGACCCCAAAACCCCAGAGTGGGGCCCCTAAAACCCTGGAGTGGCAGCTCTGAAACCCTGGCATGAAGAGCCTAAAACTCTGGAGTAGGACCCTAAAACCCTGGCATGGGGACCCCGGATCCACCCTTGCCTGTGGGGATGGAGGAGCCACAGGGGGACTCTGGGAGAAGGCAGGGAGGGACTCGCTGGAGTTCTGGGATCCTTTGCCACGTCCTCATGTGCCCCCGGGGGGGGTGACGTGGCCCTGTAACATTTGGGGGGATGGAGGTTCCCCCCACAATAAAACGATGGAGGTGGGCTCCTGCTGTCCCCGTGTACTGTTGATGAGCTGAAGGCTGGGGGG